TGACCCTACCATCCGAATGTCGCAGCAGAAATCGAGACTCATCAGACCAAGCAACGTTTTTCCAATCTTCTATTGTCCAATTTTGGTGAGCCTGTGCGAATTGTAGCCTCAGTTTCCTGTTCTTAGCTGACAGGAGTGACACCTGTTGTGGTCTTCTGCTGCTGTAGCCCATCCGCCTCAAGGTTCAACGTGTTGTGCGTTCAGAGATGGTGTTCTGAATGCCTTTGTTGTAACGAGTGGTTATTTGAGTTACTGTTGCCTCTTTATCAGCTCGAACCAGTCTGGCCATTCTCCTCTGACCTCTGGCATCAAAAAGGCATTTGTGCCCACAGAACTACTGCTCACTGGATATTTTCTCTTTTTCAGACCGTTCTCTGTAAACCCTAGAGATGGTAGTGCGTGAACTCCCAGTAGATCAGCAGTTTCTGAAATACTCAGACCAGCCCATCTGGCACCAACAACCATGCCACGTTCAAAGTCACTTAAATCACCTTTCTTCGCCATTCTGATGCTCGGTTTGAAATCCAGCAGATCGTCCTGACCATGTCTTCATGCCTAAATGCATTGAGTTACTGCCATGTGATTGGATGATTAGAAATTTGCGTTAACGAGCAGTTGGACACGTGTACCTCATAAAGTGGCCGGTGAGTGTAAGTTCATGTGAATTTGTCCATTTGTATTTTTGTTGTTTTTTTTGCTCTTTAACAGTTATGATAGTTTTCCTGGAAAGTTTTCCTTTCCACTGTCGCTACATGCATGCTCAGTATGAGGGATTGCTGCAAAGTCAATGCAAGCGACAGCCCACTGTTGTTACATGCTTGTCCAGGAGGAGTGAATGCTGCAAGTCACGGACTGGATGCAATCTGCTGGGTTTACTTAATAAACTTTTAACCAGAAAAATAAGTAAGAGAAAAGAAATCCCTTTGCTTGGCAGTCAGAAAGAGAAACGTTTTATTAAGGTAAAGGAGTATGAGTTCAGGATGCATGCCACTTTAAATGATTCAGGTAGAACAAGACATTTATTTTATTTATCTTTATTTAAGTGGTTCACACATATAAGGGTAAATCCCTTGAAACTTAAATGCAACTAGAATCCTTTAAAATCTGCCAAAATTTGTCAAGACTTTTTTTCTGCAGTTTTTAGTAATTTCAACTGATCAGCTGAATTATTCTTGTGATGTCATCGACCCAAATACAAGCAAAGCAGAATCTGCATTCCTTTTATTAAAATGCCTCTTTTAAACTATGTAGCTTGTGAAATCCTAAATCAATACTTTATTATTCAGTTTTGTCAGTATTGTTTGTAAGCAATTAAGAGTAAAAAAACAGTGACCAAAAAACACAGCTGAGGTAAATCTTTGTACATTAATGACACAATTACATGACCAATCCTGCCAGGGAACACAGCATCAATGTCTTTCTGGTCTTTGAAAGTTTTTTCCTTGACATCTGGAAATGTTTGTAGGTTTCTTGTCCTATAACTTTTGCTAGGGACACAAAAAGCTGATTAGCCGCATGCTGACTGCAGTGTCAATTGAAAATAATCTGAAACAGGACTAACGTAAGTTAAACATAATTAACTTAATAAAACAGCTTCAAGGATAACTTTCACAAAAAAACTGAAAAATTGCAATCTGCAGGTATGCCTTCAATTGCAATCAGAAATGTCCTTACATAGGATCAAATGCCAATTTATTTCAGTCTTTAATTTATTTTATTAGAATTGCTCTATTTACCATGAAATGAATTGATTTTTTTCAACAGCAATCCTTTTTAATTAAGAAGTGGTAGCTCGGGTTTAATTTAGTTTGATTTAGCAATAGCCTGATGAGTTTGGCTATCTTAATGTCACAAAATTAAGATGCCACAAAATCTCAATTTTGTGACATCTTATAAATAAAAATAATACAAGGAATTGAACTTCATTTGAATTAAAAAATCAAGGTTGTTGGTTGGAGATGATAAAGTTTATATGTAATTTATTAGACCTAATGTATTTTTTTAATTTGTTGTTGACTAAAACATCTGAAATTTGTACTTTTTACTCTCAAGATAATATTTCAATGCAATCTTTTAGAGGCTGTCCCACATTACCTTCCACAAGCTTCCCTTGGGGTCCAAAATCAAGTTGGCTGAGATTTGACCATCCAAAATAACACGCATGCAAGGATCTGCGCACGAATGTGAGCTGCTGCAGTCAAGTTACTGTGAAGATGCACAGCAGGGCTGTTGGCTTCAGATCAGCTCTTCAGAGGAACCAACAGCGATGTTAAACAAGCTCAATCTATAAAAGCAAGGCAGAAGCAGACCTATTTCTCAAATGATTTTACCTGCAGTGATCAACTGCAACACTCTTTTTCACTATTAGATAATTTACTGTAGGTGCACAGTGAGTGCATAGGATAGAAATAATTTCAGCTGCTTTGGCCCAACTCTTAATTAAAGAAATAAGAATGTTTCTTAGGTCGAAGGGGCTTGATTGACCAAACCCCATTTGGCAATGAAGAAACAACTCTGACTTACCAAGTATGAGTTGCAGTGGGCGGTGTCCTCTGGATAATGTTTTTCTTGAGGTGCCTTTTCTGCAGCCTCAGGATTAAAAACAACTGTTCAACACGTGGAAAAATATGATTTTCATCACTTTCCATTTAAAGTCGCTGATCTGGCTCGGCTTGTAGATATTTCTGTTCTGGTGAGAAGTTGTTTCAGTCTGCGATCATTAACACCGGGGAAGAACCGACACTGTTTCATGCTGCCAGGATCTCAGGCGTTCAGAGCTAAATATAAACGTGTCGTTTCATAACCTAATGGAAAATAAAGCATCCAATCTTTCATACTATCTGTAAACATGAAGGGCCCTCTACACCCCCTAAAGATCTGCATGAACTCAGTCTGAAAATATTAAACCAATCAGAATTTTAATTAATTTAAAAATAGATCAAAATGTCTTGAATGTTTAATTAGTAATAGATGACTTCCTTCTTCCCTGAGGTGTAAACAATATCTGACACGGAGACCAATTTCTCTATGTCACAGTTTAAAATGGGAAAGACAAGAGAACATGGCATTCAGCTATAATGCGACAGCTCTTAATGATTCATGAAATCGCTCAAGAAAATAGCTACTTACCGAAACTTGCCCATTATTTATCCCCAGAAGGACAAATAAAAACACGGCTGGAAAAGAACCCTAGACCCTCCAACCAATTTTACATAATTTTGTGATGTCTTTTTGTAAATTAAAATACAGAATGTACTGTATTTTAGAAATGAAGTTTTCAGTGGGGTAGGTATTAAACAGTGACTCCTCTTTGCTGTAAGGCCAATTGAACAATAGGTGTCTGAACAATAGCTGAAATATAAATAAATTGAAACCATTCTCACAGTGACCAAAAAGCAACAAAAATGTCTTGAATTGGGATCCAAGTCTATATTCATTAGCGTATGGGGAACGTGATCCTCTACATGATTTCAAAACTATTTTGCTAACAATCAGCTGATGTTTACTTGCTGTCTCCAAAATGTTTTGTTAATGATCCACGTAGAGACTATATTGGCACAATGACATCAAACTGTTCCCGGGCCTTAATGTAGTCTTTTTGGGCTTTTTGTTGCTAATTTACATCATTACATAAAGTTCAGAGGAGATGGGAAGCATTTAAAGTAAATCTTTCAGTCTTTAAAGCCCTGAAACTTGCCAAGAATGAAACCATAATTATATCACTACTTTGAATTAGCAAAACAGAAGGACACTCATCAGATTACACTTGTGACAAGTTAGCATGTTGGGGCATGTGTCCAAAAGTAATTTCTTTTTACTTTATTTAAAAAATAAATTGAATTGTTGCTCAGACCATTCCTTTAGTGTTGATAAGAAACATAACTAGATGCTGTAATGTTTTCCTTGCAGTTGTTACTCCTTTCTGATTACTGAAGCATGAAAAAGGCAATCAAAATGCCAATAAAATAATAAAATAAAATGCAATAAAATAATAAATGCAATAATAAAACTCCTTAATGCGTGGGCCCAATCGAAATATAATTTTACTATTTACAAATTATAAACCGGGCTGCACGGTGGCGCTGTTGGTAGCGCTGTTGCCTTCTTGCCCCTGGACCTTCTTGCCTTGCAGCAAGAAGGTCCTGGGTTTGACTCCCAGCCGGGGGTCTTTCTGCATGGAGTATGCATGTTCTCCCCGTGCATGCGTGGGTTCTCACCGGGTACTCCGGCTTCCTCCCACAGTCCAAAGACATGTCTGTTAGGTTAATTGGTCTCTCTAAATTTCCCTTAGGTGTGTGAATAAGTGTGTGCATGGTTGTTTGTGTGTTGCCCTGCGATGGACTGGCGACCTGTCCAGGGTGTACCCCGCCTCTCGACCGTAGACTGCTGGAGATATGCACCAGCTTCCCCGCAACCCACTATGGAATAAGAGGTAGAAAATGACTGACTGACTGACTGACATCCAGGATGCTGTAAGGAAACAGCCTGATTGTACAAGTTGACATGCTTTAAATAGTTTTAATATTCCCAAAGTTAGTATGTACAAACTTGCAGTGCTACATAATTGAACACAAGCCCAACTTTGCAACCACAAAAGCTTACTGAACAGTGAATTTTGTAATTCGTTGCTGCAAAAAGAACTGCAGTGAGACGCGACCTGTAAGCCCTGTCACAATAGTTGGATGTGCGCTCTTCATTTAGCAAGTGAGATGAGGCAATAAGAATTATTGGTACGGTTACACTGTCTGTCAATAAAACAAAACAGGTTTGATATTTAAGGAATGCTGAAGTAAGTAAATAAAAGAATCAGCAGCTGTGAAGGCAACAGAGACAATACAAACATATTTCATAAAGATGTTCCACATTAAAAATGTATAAGACAAATAACAAAGTGCAACTACGTTAACATAAACATTAACGGAGGCTATAACTAGCTATAACTTGGTTTCTTTAGTTTGGGAAACAAACTCTTTCTCCCCAGTTTCTGTTTCCTTCTGTCTTCTTCTCCTGTGTAAACAAAAACAGTAAGTGACAATTACAAAACAATTGCTTTCTTCTTCATTGAGATCATTACATTGAGAACAATAACATACAAAATTATCAGTGTAAAAAACACAGTTTTAGACTCACCCGTAGATGTGCTGCATTTGAGGTATGGTCTCTGGCAACGCCTTCCCATACGTCTCTGGCAGCAGGAAGCAGATAATCCCACCAGCAATGGCTAAAACACCCATCACAATGTACGGGAGTGCCTTGTAGTATTTCCCTGCAAATAAAAAAGGTAAACATGTTTTGAGAGAGGAAAAGAAAAAGCTTAGTAAAAATGTCATTCCAACAGTTTTAAAAAAAGCGTCTATTACATGTAGCTTAAATTAAGGTAACAGATCTACTTCATTTGTGATAACTTCCAATAAATCATATTTTTTATGTCATTGTGTCAAAAACGGCAAGTTTAAAATAAGTTATTTATATTTCAGATAAAGTCAACATCTATTGTAAATAACACATTCTAAGTTTCTAAAGTTCAGTTGGGCTGTTCCAGTAATTTGTTTCAAATGTGCATTTGGGAGGTGAAGCGGAGCAAGTTTATTGTAATTACCCCACAGCTCCACTAGGTGGGGCAGATTGCTTGTCAAGTTTTTAGATCAATTGTTTTTGTTAGGAACCCTTCTTTAACTGAATATAAATTGAATGTCCTTCTTCTGAGCTTAGAAACCAAAACAATGTTGAGAACAAATCTTTGCTTTTGCATTCATGACGAACAATACAAGAAACATTTTCTGGCAGCAGACATTTTTAAATATTTCTTTCAAGGATTTAACTTGTAAGATTTTTCTGATAAAAATGCCCTATAGATAGCCTAAAAGAAATTAAATAGAGAACTACAAAAACGATATATTTGTGGTTGGTTTGTTGTTTTTGCGAATGTTGCTGTTTCGTGACAAATTTAATAAAAATTTCCACTCTGTATAGAAGACATTAATGCAACCTTTGTTTGTAGGAGATATTTGTCTCTTCAGTGATATTTGTATTATTTGATCATTGTGATCTTTACTGCTTAAGCTAAAATTTCTATCTTCTAACTAATTATATTAGAAGTTAGTTTATTAAATAATAGACCAATGGAAAGTAGCACATATTGCAAAGCGAAACAAAAATAAAAAAAATATTAAGCTAAAAAGTGTAATGTACGTATATACTGTAAGTAATTTTCCAAGGCTCTGTATGTAACAGTTATACATTTTTTAACTTCTGTAGTGTTGTCTCTTTTTTTATTTTTTAATACATCATAGACAATATTGTACAATATGTATTTACTATGCAAAAAAACACAAACAAAAAAGTGAAGTGATCACATTTATATATCTACATGTTTTATAATTTAAAACATTTTCCAGGAAATGGAAAGTTGATAAAGTGCTGATCTAATTTTGAATGAAGGATTTTTTTATACTGTAAAAATAAAGTACATTTACCTAGATAAATAATAAAAGGAGAGATGATAGTGGCAATACGGGCAGCCATGGAGCAGCAGCCCATTGCTGTATTTCTGATAACAGTGGGGAAGAGCTCTGATGTGACGGAATAAACTACACAGAACGCTGCGGTCACTCCAAACTTTCCTAACATCTCAAGAAGCACAGCCACAGTGGGTAAATCTAGAGAAATAGAGAAGAAAATTCAGTTTCACATTTATTGTTTGCTAAAAACATTAAGTGTTTTGATGCAGCAAGAGGGTGGCTTTGATTGGGATCTGGTTCCTGAAAAGGCACAAATCAGTCAATCAGTTTCTCTATAAAATAGTTACACATTTTTGTTCTAGTCATATCTGTTTTATTCGGTTCTGTTTTTCTATTCAAAACAAATGAAATGGCAGATTAGTTAGGTAAAAATGCAATCAGTTTTTTTTTTTCCAAAATCTGCCATATTTCGACATGTTTCAAATTCTGTTAGTTAACAGCATAGCAGCATTACCTATGGGTATAAGTCGAACACAGAGGATCATGACGCCTCCGAGGAAAAGAGTGGAGGACTGACACAGGTGCCTGGAGCAGAACCGCAGCAGCAACAAGGCAATTATGTATGCTGGAACTTCTGTCACAGCTGACAGGAAGCAGTTTAGGTAGGGGTCACCATGAAGATTTGAAGTGTTAAGGAGCAAAGCATAGTAGCTAATGGTGATGATCATCCTGCGAAGACATTCACAAAACTCACTTTAATTGCAGATTACAAGAACAAAAATCTACATGCAAAGTGAGACAATTATCTGGTGCAACTGCAGAAATGCTGCACTGGATGCTAAAACTTAAAACACTGCCATGAATGAAAGTGTTGTAATGTAAGGATTTATTTCATGTAAGGAAGTTGAAGACATACCACAGACTGGCACATAACAATGTAATAGATGCTATATTGCAGCTTTTCAGGATGACCAATGGATTTATTTTCTCACCACTCTTAGACAAAGCATCTTCAATCTATGTAAAATAAGAAGGAATGGTGAGTGCATTAAGCATTGATTCCAATAAATAAATTAATAAAAATGCTTTCAAAGAAGAAGTGGTCATGAATAGGTTTTATGGCTGCAAGCCAAATGCAAACCTAATTAAAGGTTTAGTGTTTTTTATACTGATAATGATGTGGTTTGTGATGAACTTACCTCATCTGGGCTAAAAATGTCCTGAGGGACTTCTACTCTATTCATTTTTGCAGCTTTTCTAAGAATGGCTTCTGCGTCTTTTACTCTCCCTCGAGAAAGCAGCCAGCGAGGAGACTCTGAGAGCAACCTGAAAAGACAAGCATCTTTGTCAGATAAGTGAAAGTTATGAGGAAAACAACAGCTTGTGAAGTTGTTGTGAAGGTTCTGATCTGCATCTTTGAACGTTTGTGGTGTCCCACAGGGGTTAGCATGGGGCCAGATTTTTTTTATTATGTATAAATGGTGAACAAAAAGGTGATCAAAAGTATTGAAGCTCGCTTTTTGGCAATTGACATTAACAGATCTCTTTCTGTGAACCTTATTAAAAAAGTACAAGAAAAGGCACAGCAAATGCATACATTTAAAACCTGGTTTGACAAAAACTTAGGGAAGCTAAAATTGTGCTATTTTGGAAATAGAAATTCAAACCCAGCTGAAAACGAATTCTAAGAGGCCACAGAAAACAATAATTTCAACTGCAGGTCTCACATTCATCATGTACAAAATAAATTATCAGAGGATAGTTTTGAATAAGGCTGAGAACGTACTGGACTATGATTCCCTCCACACTCTGCATTATTAATTAATTTTACCATATTTAGCACACTGCATTGAGGTCTGGGGTGTTAATTATAAAACATGCTTACATGAACTTTCAATTGCACCAGTTATAAGGCTGGATATGTGGATCACACCAACTCTTTGCTGTAACAGTCCAGGCATATTTATTTTTCAAGCTGATTTACTTTTGGGCAATTAAAAAGTTGCAAAAGGCTTAAGGAATACATTAACATTCAAAATTCAAAGGTTATTCTGTGAAAAGGAGGGACCTTATGGTCTGAGGGGCATAAAATACAAAGAGTGACGAACGCAAACTGGACTTTTTGTGTTTTGCAATTCTAGGAGAATCTTTATATGAAGTAGTTTAAATCAAAGGACAAAGAGACGTTGTTTAAATACAAAATATAATAAAATGTGATACAAATAAAATATAAATCAGATCAGTAAATTGTCATGTAAATGTCTTTATTTTTTTTAATATACTTGAGTATTCTTACCACCACAGAGGAGTGTAGATGAGTCCAGATACAGCCATTGCAATCAGCAGCATTCTCCAATCACGGATGAAGTAGGCCACAGCAGGCATGGCCATGTAACCTACAGCTGAGCCCATAAAAACTCCAAGGGAACAGAAGATAACCCGGGTTCTGGGGCTGAGAATTTCAGATCCTGTAGTTTTAATAAGGAAAACTTTTTAAAATAAGAAAAGCTGTTGTTTTGGTAAATTATTGCCAATTTTGAGTTTATTTGTATGTGTATATAATTAAATATCCTACAAATCTCAACTTCTTATGGTATGTTTTACAATGCTGGACTCATGTATGAAGGTTTTTTAAAAAGGTCCCTTCTCAAAATGTTTATGTGCACAAAAATTTATTTGGATAGTTTAGTATACAAACTGTCTACATATCACTCCA